TTTTTCTTCGTTAATATACACATATATATATATATATATATATATATATATATATATATATATATATATATTTATATATATTATATATATATATTTTATATTTATATATATATTTGTATCATGTTTATCAGATAAAGATATAATGTTAGCGTTGTTCTTTTTTCATGCAATTCCTAATAAATGTTAAAACAATATACAATAATATATTAATATATATAATAATATATTTAATATATGTAATATATTAAAACCTCTTTGCAAGTTGAACTATCACTCAACTACAACAAAAAATATCAATTTATAAATTCCTGAAGAATCCATTGTTTTAATGCTTTGTTTGGAGAGAAAAGGATTTTATTGTTTCAGACTATACAGCAGTATGCCAACTGCATTGGCCAGATGATGCACCTTTTGAAAGCAATTATGGGAAGAAACGACCTTTAAACCTGACATCTATTTTTAAAAGTATTCGGCCTAGTTGTTTACCCACAACAGCAAGTAAAGTTAGAAAAACTGTAACTTCAAGCGGTTTTCGAAACATTTTACCAGATAAGTTAAATGATTTTTTAAAAGAGGATGTACTTATACTTGACAATATTCAATCTTTGTTAAGTGATAATAACAATGTTATTGTTGTTTAAAAGTTTACACATACAATCAAAAATTTACAAACTTGGTGTTCCGTTTTTTCTTTTAGAAATTTTTAATGAATATTTATTTGTAGCTTACCATAATGGCACAACTTGTAATATTTCATCTTTAACTGTAAACGAGTTAAAATTAATAAAAGCTTTGTTTGAAGCAGTTAGATTTTAAAAAATAAAGAAATTTCGTATAAGTCAAATATTATATTCGAGCACCTTAATTCTATGAGAAAAGTTAATGCAGGTGAAGTTTTATATACTCCAGATATTTTGTGTAGAGCATATGAATGTTTTGCTATGCAACGAAGTTTATATGATCATTTGTGTATCGATTAGAAGTTGCCAAGTATACAGACTTTAACATGATTGATTTCAAAAATAAGCTCAATGGAGGACTTATATTTCATAAATAGTATTTTTATGAAGTTTATGTCAAAGCTTCATTACTTTACCAAAGAGGTGCTTTGTTTGGTCATGCAGTAAACTACCAGAAATAGTAGATAAATCAATTTTATCATTTATGATTAAATGTCTTTTTGGAGGTCCTGAATTTATAAGAAGAGCTCAACCTGTTGCAAATCTTTCTTCATAATTTCAGTTTGCTCAATTTCAACATATTGTTGATACAATAAATAAAATTAAAAATAGTATGACACTGGCTATAATTACAGATTTACCATGTAAATCTGATTTTTTGAAATGTTTAAAACAGTTGATAGCAAACCATGGTTAACAACATCAGGTATATATCTCTTAAAATTTATACGAATCAATTGATTGACAGAAAAGACTAGCGAGCTTTAATTTTTGTACAATAGAGAACTGGCTTTGGCTAAGTGAAGTGGTTTGGGAACTTTATATAAAACTGAGTGTCATAGTCTTTTTAGACTCTCTGAGCTTACAGCTAAATCAGGTTATCCAAAACCAATAGAGAGACAATCTGTAAATTATTGTTTGTTCTTAGCGAAGAAATAATAACTCATAAAAACACATTCAGAGATGAAATAAAGCATTTGAAGGTACTGTTGTATTTATTGAAAAAACTATTTTAAAATATATATATATAAATATTATTAAAAAAAATATTTCTTTTTGGAATGTTGTTAATGTCAAAGCACCTGGTGCTGGCATTTGGTTTAGAAATGAATTATGTGAATAAATCCACTCAGCTAGTGATCAACAGTTACAACTGCTACAAGATATTGAATTGTCAAATTTTTTAAAACCAACAGGTAAGTGTGTAAAACAGCTTACACTAGATACCAGCAATGCAATAGCGCATATATTTTATGGTTTAATTGATCTTGTTTAAACTTAGTTGAGTAATCGAGCTAAGTATGTCTTCTTAGATTGGTTTTCAACAGATTTTTCTAACCTTCGACAGGGATCTGGAGGTACTTACTTTAAAAATTCTAAATCTGTAATTGTAAAAGTTCATATTCAACATACTAAATTGATGTTACAACTTGACATTCCCGTAGATGGTATCGATGGTTATACTTGCGACATATGTCATGGAGATATTTTTGCTGATAAAAAAAACTGCTGGATAATATACATTATCTTGAAAGCTCAGTTAATAAATCAATATTAGTGGCTATAGTTTACATAGCTGGCTATGTTCAATAAAGCAAAATAAAAATTTATGATGACCAATTATTATTATAAATATGGAAATTATCTGAAAAGCCTAAACTGAGGCAAACTTAAAATTCTTTCTGATACTCTTGCCCAATGGTCAACTACTGATTCTTTATGCAATACATTTTGTGTTACTCAGTTTTAGTTCATACCAGCTAAATATAAATTTAAAATCACAAAAAAAAAAAGCAGAATATATTCGCTAAAGAATTATGCACTAATTACCACTCCCAACTAATTATCACTCCCAGCTAATTGCCACTTCCAGCTAATTACCACTTCCAGCTAATTACCACTCCCAGCTAATTACCACTCCCAGCAGTAGCAAAAAAATCTAAAACGAAAAATATTAAAGCTATCATAATTTATGTAAAAATTAGTTTTGTAATTTTTTTATGCTATTTTCTTGTTACGTTTTTTATTTCCTTCGTAGCCTTTATGTCTCTCAATATGTTTGGATTTGTAAATATTTACCCTGTTGATAAAACTTTTTTTTTTTTGCATGAATCAATTTTCGTTGGTGTTTTGTTTATTTATTATTAGTGATTTTTATTGTTATCTTTTTTTTTTTGGTAAAACTTCTCCAAACAAAAAAAAATACAATTATCTTTCTAATATATAGATATCATTTTCATTGTTCTTCTTGTTACTGATATTATTTAATATTGCATAATATTCTTAACGAAATTTGAAATACAAAAAATATTATTATTTTTTAACAATTTTTTGGTTGTCCTTTTATATTTCCTTCTTTATTAATGATTTTTATGAGAAAACATAGGCTACCATTACACCAGGTTTGTGGAATCAATATTTTTTTTTTATGGCTTGGCTCCAGCTCGTAAGAAATGTTCGACTCAGCACCCATATTTTATGAATAATAATCACAACTTTTGGAATAATTTTTTTTGAACACATTTACCAACCCAAATCCAAACCATTTACAGAAATTAATTTTTAACCAACTTTCATGATTACAAGGTTATAATATATTACTATCACTACCCTACTAATGCATATTATATTTCAAAAGAAAAATGTTTTAAGTAAATATACAATTTTTTTCTATATATTATTTACCCAAAACTAGAATTTTTAGTTCTAATTTTAGTTCTAATTCTACCCAGTGGGCACAGTACCTGAAAAAGACATTTAAAAATGTATAAAAAATGTGTTTTTAATGTCCTGTGCCCACTTAGTAGTGGATGGGCATGGGATCTAAAAAAGTCTTTTAAATATTCAAAACGTTCAAAAGACCTTAAAAAATGTTTCAAAGACATTTAAAGGACATATTTTGTATGTCCGTGCTGATTGTGTAGTATAATTTTTTTTAGGATATGAATAACCTTAAATCATTAATTCGTGCATCAAATATTTAACTGTATAATATCAATATAAAAATATAATATAAAATAATATATGTAATATTGTAAGGATGTTTCCATATAATTTACTTGTTTTTTTTATTAAGAAAGCATATTAAGAAATGCTATTAAAGGATAGTATTTTGTTGAGTTCTAAATCGTTAAAATATTCTTTTTTATTACGTTTTGGCAAGACTGTAACTGTTGGAAAAAATATTTTTTTAAAATAAAATTGAAATTTAATAAAGTTTGTCTTCAGTAAAAAAAGTCATATATTCTATTTCTTTAAAAAGCCACAAGAGCTGCTCGATTTTTGGGGCTCTGGCTCCACCAAAAAACAGCGGCTCCATGGCTCCAGCTTGGCTCCACAAGCCTGCATTACACCCTACCTAATATAAATACATATAGACATAAGTAAAAATTTAATCGACCTTTAGTTGTTACTGCATTTTGCGCAGTGTTAAGGCCTGTTATTATAGAAGCTGTGCTTTTGGCTTTTTGCCGATATGAATGATTTTTTATAAGGAGTATTTTTCTGCGGTTGTCACTCTACAGTTTCAACAGCTCAATTGGTTATATATTGGTTATATATTTGCTAATAGACTTGAAATTTTATACTTTTTACACAAATTACTCTGTGTAGTTCTCTAAATAACTCTCTGCATTAAAATCATCAATAATTTTTGTTTAAAAACATTATTACATTTACTACCTGCCATTTTTTTTGTCTTTAAGCTGCAATTTTATTTTAAATTCAAATTAAACAAGATAAGCTGTGTTTCATGTCACACTAACAACCAATTATAAATGTATCATGTCTTCCATGTTAATTAAAAGCTTTAAAATAAGCAACTTATGATTATATCGCAGTGCTGTTCAACAATTTGTTTGTAGAAGTTTCCTTTGTCTTGTAACATTACAATTTTTATACTGCTTTGTATTCATATAAAAAAATAGTTAAAACAGAATCATACAAGATAAAAAGCAAGAATATTTCCCACATTTTTTAGCAAATAGTATACATAGTAAAGATTTTTAAAATAAAATCGATTATAGTTATTCTTAACACTTTTATTACTTGCAAAAGCATTTTTTCTATTCTTAGTTTTGGTTGTCAGTGTATATTTTAGATAATATTTCATATACATTATATATTTATTTACATATAATATATATATATATATATATATATATATATATATATATATATATATATATATATATATATATATATATATATATATATATATATATATATATATATATATATATAATATTTTAAAGTATCGCATTGTAGTTAAATTTAATTTTAAACTGCATTAAAAATCATTTAAACTAATATAACAAAAATTACTGATGAAATCTAAATATTTGAAAAAGATTATATAATATCTTATAATAGATAATCTTTTGTTTCTTCATCACATTTTTTTTTTTTTTAAAGTATTATTAATTTATTATAAACAGTTTATATAGAGATTTTAGTTAGAAATAAGATTTTTGTGAACAAAATTTATGTTCATAAATAAATTATGTTAAAAGAACTTTACAAGATGTTGAATTAATAAGAAACAAAATATTTTAAATACATTTTTGAAATTAATTCTTTTAAACAAAAATACTTCTTCCTTTTTTAAAAGAAATTTATTTAAAATAATGACTGCTGCAGTTAAATGCAATTTTATTTTACAATTTAATATTTACTAAACAAATAATATTAAAAGAAAATTTAAAAAATTCCAAAATAATTTTTTTTTGCTCAACATAAAACTGCTGAATGCATACAAATATTTTGTTCATAAAGTTCAAGCTGTGTAACGGTTCTTAAAAATGCCTGTTATTTATTGTAAGATAAGTTCAAGAAAGATTTTTGGAAAAGAAAAAAGATTTGTGGATGGCATTTGTTGACCTAAAGAAAGTTTTTGACAGGGTACCAAGAAAGGTGGTGTGATAAGTAGGTTACTACATCTGTCCAACAACGTTTGTGGAGTAGTCTAAGAAGATCATCTGTCCAAGATCATCTGTATTTTTCTTTTACTCTAATAACATCTGTCCAATACCATCTGAAAATTTAATGACCCCTAACAACATCTTTAGAAAGTATGTGTAACGGTTAAAATAATGCATTATTAGTTTATTTTTTTTTTCCAGATGTAATTACATCTGAAAAAAATCCTATATGTAACTACATCTGGTTAAAATAATGCATTATTAGTTAATTCATCTTAAAAATAACTTAAAATCCAAAGATGCAGTTGCACAGATGTTGTTACAATTTGTTAATTTAAAAGATGTAACTACATCTGTAATATTTGTTTAATTTTTGCGCAGATGTTACTAGACACCATTTCAGTTATTGGACAGATGTTATTATATAGATGTTATTACATCTCATTGTATTTACATGTGTTGTTGCACAGACGTTATTAGACATGGCAAAAAATGATGTTGTTACCCTGACCGGTGTGATGGGTTTTGTCATACTTAGGCATTGTAGTGATGGTTATCATAGCTATGTATAAAAATATCATAGTAGTGCTGAAGTCAAAAGATTGAGAGAGTGATAGTTTTAATTAGGTGTGTGGCAGGGTTTATGACACTTGCTCTTTCTTAATGTCTCTCCAAAGAAATCTAATATAACTATTCTATGCAGGTGGTTTGTCGCTGACTGCCGAGACAAAAAAAAATAACTGAACTAATAATACTAATAGTTCAGTGTTGGAAAAATGAAATGGAAGCCTAAATGAATGGCCTAAAACAAACATGAATAAGACAAAAGTTATTACATTATAAAGCCAAGAATGAGTAAGCAAAAAAGAGATGAGGTATTAAAAATTATTAGACACTACATGTGCCTAGAGGGTCAGGAATAGTGAGTGTATCTGTTTAGGTGCATCAGGGAAGATTAAGATGATTTTCATAATAATAGTTCTTTTTCTATATAATCTTAATAGTATCTTTTTCTATATATTCACTTCTTTCCATTTAGCAAAAGCGTCTTTATTATTTTATCATCTGTAACATTTCAACAAGATTAGCTTAATTTAATAAATTTATGTTGTTTTCAAATTATCCTAATAATTTCATACATGTCTCATAGCAATTCTTTTTATGAGTTTTCATGACATCTATCAAAGATATCAATTTGTAGTAAAACTGGTAAAGAAGTTGCTTGCATTCAAGCAGTCATTTTTCAAAAACTGGTAGTAATGTTTTTATCCAACCAACTTGTAGGCCTGGACTTTAAAATTTGATACTGAAGACTATCTAGACATTGGTTAGCATAACTGTTATTAGATTTACTTTAAAATATTTTATTAATATTCAAAGACTTTTTTTCAAGATATGATCTAATTCAACATGTCTTTTTTTATTGATTTTTAATTTTATCAATATTTCAATCATAACAAGGATCTTTTGTTTAATTTGTAACTTTATTGATTTTTTATTCGAAATTTTAAAAACAAAATTGTTCTTTTTAGATATATGATGGTGTTGCAAATAAACCTATAGACATACATAGTGTTGGGCTCATTATAGCAAGTATGGCAGATGTAGATATATCAACAAAAATAAACCGTGATGATCTACCACAAGAAAAGAAAATAAAGATAATTGAAAGAAATAAACGAGTGGTAATTAATATTTTGTTTGTTTATGTTATATAAATCAAATTTGTTTAACTAAAATAAACTTTAAAATAAACTTTAACTTGGATTCAAATATTTATTTATTTAATATTAAACATATACTAATCATATGAAGTTTCATGATGTTATTTTAATTTTTAGTCTAATAAAATAAAGTGTACACATGATAAGTTTTCACAAGTATTTAATGATTGCACAAAGGTATGAATAAGTTGTTTAAATGCTTTTATTTGTAAGTATGAATATTAATATTAAAATAGCAAAATTTATTTATAACTTTAACTGTACTGAAAACATATATACAAACACTTTTTTATGGATTTAATTTTAGTTTATTCTTTAAGATAAAAGAGTTTGATAGAAACCAGGCCTTGTTTTAAAGCGTTACGCCTAGAGCGATTTACGTACGCGTAGAGCTGTTTTGGTTAAGCTACTTTTTATCATTTCTTATCTTTTAAATTAGCGGTAACGCAAAAGAAGTAATTAATTTTTAAAAAAACCACATTAACTTAAACGATATGTAAAGATATTTACATAAACGATAATGTAAAGATATTTATTACAAAAAGAATTTACGTTAAAAATAATTGTTGTAACGTTTCATTGCGATATATCTTACCTTTTTATAGCAATTAATTTTAGGATAAACTTTTTATCCAAATATTTAGCAACATGAAAAATTGTTCGTCAATTCTTAACTACAAATTTTTGCAATGTTTTTAATAAAATGTAGTTATTTTTTAAAGTTTCAGTAAAAAACTTTTAAAAAATCTATATTCGATATTTTTTAATGCAGAATATAAATGTTTTTTGTAGTATAGATTTTTTAAGAGTTTTTACTGAATTTATAATAAAAAACATTTGCAAAAAAATTTGTAATTAAGGATTGACATTTTTTTAAATATCTCAAAAAATGTCTTAATATTTTTGTTATCACGATAACAAAAATTTCAAGACATTTTTTTGAGATATTAAAAAAAAAAATGTGCTAATGAATGAACAATCTATTTGTATTTTTTTAAAAATTACTTCATTGATTATTACTCTTTGATTTTCTTATTAGTTAAAGGTATATAGATACCTTTACTTTTAAGTTATGCGGGGGAAGGGGGGAGGCACAGAAAAAAAAAATTACTCGTTACTCGCAATATTTGAATGAAGACAATTTGTTAAATTTCTTCTACGTGCGATTCACTAAGTTTTTTTCATAAATCAAGTTATATTATAAGGGAAAGAAATCACAAGTAGACTATAATATCTGCTGATGACACTAATATTACATTGAATATATTTATATTACAGAGGTTTCACTATGCACACGCACATTACAGATTCTGTTAAATAAATACTAAGGCATGTTTTAGTTTAATGAGTCTCTATTTTTTACTAATAAATATGTATTTTTCTTTATAAAACAAGACAAACTAGTATATAAAAACCTTGTCTATTTCTATTCTCTCTAAATTGTTTAAAGTTCAAATATGGATTGTATTTTGAAGGACAAAAGATTTACTTTAAAAACTTTTAAATCTTGGGACTTTGCTGATGCAATGATCACAGAAAAAGAAAAGACGTTATTAAAATCAAATGTAAGTTATGTGATCTTCATCAAAATAAAATATTATCCAAAAACAATGGTGCTGTAAGGGCAACTGCCCAATGGTTTATAAATAACACAAGTCATGTTAAAATATTTTAACATGTTACTATATTTTAATTAAGTTGATATATAAATAAAAATAAAAATATAGTTCAATAAATAAATTAAATTTGTTCTTAACAAAAATTATCTCATATCTATTCTTTTTTTATTTTATCAAGTTAAATTGCTTACAAACGAAAAAAAAAAAGAGTTTTGTAATTACACGTAGAATGAAAATACTTTTTTCATTCTACGTGAAAATAAGTTAAGCAACTTATTATTTAATAACCAAATTTTTACGAACGTTTATTATAAACAGATGATTCAAATTATTAAATATATTTATATTATTTTAGTTGAGTATTTTTTTAAGTTTGCACGATTAAAGTTTTGCGTAGAAGTATTTGTTTTTTGTTTTAAGATTAATTATCAAAAGAGTTTGCATAATTAAGACTTTTATATTTAATTTGATTTTTTTTTTTTTTAATTTTCTAAAATTAAAAAAAAAAAGATTTAATTGTTAAAAACAATTTTTCTATATAACTCTGTTTCTTTGTAATTTGTTTAAAATGTAAAACATTTTTACAATAACATAAAAAATTTATGAATTAAGTGCGTTCTAAACTATGTATCAAAAATATGCTCAAAGCAGACAAAACTTTTTTATATTTTTATACGCAAGTTGATTATTATTTTATATTATTAACGCAAGTTGAAACGCCAAGCAAGATAAATTTAAAAAATATTTAAAAACCTAAATTATTCTTTGCTAGTCAAAACATAATCGCTGTTTAAATAATTAGCATGGGTTTTTGTTTATCAATGTTAATATTTTTTGTTTACTCCAGAAGTTTCTAAAAATAAAAAAAATCATTATTATTTTTTATTCAATAACGATTTATAAACAATAATTATTCAAAAACAAATTTCAGAAATAAATAAAAAATATACATATATATATTTTTTTTACTAAATAATATTGAACTAAAATTAATAATAAAATAACAATTGAAAACATTACAAACTTTCCATAACAAATTTACATTTAAAACGTTTACAGTTGAGTTAATTGTTAAATTGAACTAGTTAGCAGTTATTTATTTATTGCGGTAGTTAAAACACTTAACGTCTATAAAAAAAAATAAAGATAATTTTATGACGTAAAAGTCGTGTTTAGGTAATGCATTAAGCTAGGCACTTCAACATTTTTTTTTTTTTATATGTAAAATGAAAACAAAAAAAAACAACCATAAGTTAGAGCTAAAGATAAACGTTCAAAAAATACCAAACTTATCTTTATAGTATTGTTAGTTGCAAAGTTATGCTACTTTTAAACTAAAAAATTAATGATTTTTTTGTCAATGACTTTTCACGTTTTCAGCAATTAACGTTTTTGAGAATCACATTAACGTTTCCATCACGTCCATTTTTTTTTTTTACGAAATAAACTAAAAACTAGACCGTAATTATTTAAAACTCCGTATGAAGACCTTTTTTATTTATTAAAAAAAAAAGACAAAAAACTATAGTAATTGTACTCTTAATTTCTTAATACACGGGAAAATATGTTTATTAATTTTTGGATATTTTTTTCCATGCTTGTTATGATACCACCACCCACCCCCTCCCCCTGTTTATTTATTTTTATTTGTTATCCACGAAAAAAAAAACTTAAAAATCTTAAAATTTTTAAAAAAAAAATTCAGACAAAATATCACTGATACTGATAAACAATCGCTAATAGGAATAAAAAAACTTTAAGTGTAATTAGGCTTTAAAAATTGTCGACCTTTAAAAAAACGGTTTGTCAAAACTTAAGTTTTCGTTTATTAATGATATTAAAACAGCTGTTAAAAAATGCTTTTTTTAGCCACCAGCCATACTAGAATTAGTTTGTTTATTCGTGTTCTGTAAAAAATTCTCACCTACCTTTTTATAAAGACCCTCCCCCCATGTCGTTTAATAGATCTGGACTTAAATTTTTACCCTCTCTTTTTATTCCTCTTCCCTCTATGTCTTAAGCGCATGGCTAGGACAAGACTCAAATTTTACATTATAAATCTGTAACAAAACTTTTTTGAAAATATTTTCTTTAATGGTAATGCAAAAAAAAAAAAAAAATTATAAAAAATTCACAGTTTTAGCTATGAAATATTTGTTACATAACACCTTTAGTAGTGTTAGCGTTTAAAAATAAAAATAAATAAAAAAACACATATAAATAAAATATACATTAAAATAAATATACAATTATACAAAATATACTTAAAATAAATAACAAAAATATTTATCAACTTTCACAAAATATCAAATCTCCATAAATCATATCAGTCAAAACAACATCTAAATTTACTCTATAATCTTCTGCATCCTCTTCTTTTTTGTTGTTTTTCCAATATGCAATAATTAATGTTTTTGTATTAGCTATACCAGATTTAATATTCTTAACTTTTATGATTTTTCCCATGAACAAAACATTGCTATTGTTAACATTCCAAACGTGATATAAATAAGAGTTTTCCAATTGTGTTAAATTATTGTCAAGTAGTTTTTCAAGTTTTTCCCTTTGGAAACCAGTTAAAGTATTAAACAGTTCACTATCAGCTGTTAAACCATTGCTTAAACCAACTTTAATAGCTTTAGAAAGTTTGTTTCTTACTTTCATATCTCTCTTTTGAGCTTTTTCTTTTAATCGATCAATCATGATTTTTTCATTTCTTAATCTCCTTTCTTTTCCAATTTGTTTATATTTTGCTCCTTGCTTAATGCAAAATGTAACTATTTTTTCTCTCATATGACTATCTTTTTTTAAAAACCAATCCACAGAGTAATTAGCTTTAGCTTTTGTAACACTATCAATAAATGTTATGTCTGCATTAGGCACTCTTTTAATTAGTGAATCAACCTTCCCAAGGGTCCTCTCTGCCCATATATTGTGTAGTGGTGCACTTGCAGCCTGTTGTTTCATTTCAGCAGTTGGGTTTGCTAGAGGTCCAATAAAATAACATGACAATTGGTGGCACATAACTGATAAGAATGACTTACCCAGAAGAATTACTATAGAAAAAAGGTTTTCTATTGAAACATCTTCAGTAATTTGAAGTGATTTTAGAGTGTCATCTTTCAATAAGGGACGACCAAATGCATCAGTTAAAGTTATGAAAAGAAGTTTTGGATTGACATCAACAAGTTTTATGAAATCAGTTGCTTTTTTAAGATAGGCAACCTTTAAAAAAATTAAAAACAGTTGTTTTATTTACTAAAAAAATATTGAATATTATTATTTAAATCACTTTAAATAATATTAATTTAATAACCCTAATATCCTTTAAAAATAAATAATAAATTTACCATAACAAAATGATTTCTTTTTGTATCTTTTGAGTAAAAAATTACCATCCATGGGCCAGTCAGAAACTTTCCCCAAAGACCAAGCGCTTGCAAGTGAATATGAATTGATCGATTTTTTAAGTCATTTAAAATAGATACTCTAAGAGATGTTTGATTGTTACAAGACTTCTCTAAGTACTCTATCAATAAATTCTTGTATTCATAAACT